GAATATTCGAATTTCGGGTCATGTTTCTAAAAAGTCTTATTGAAAAAGCTTGACGACCCGTTTTTTTATCAAACGTCCACGAAATTTAGTTTTTCCGATGGCCTGGACCTTGCAATTGATCTATTTTGGGTTATATTAATTGAATTACATCTTTTCTAATAACTTTGAGACCAAATTTCACCATTTTTTGATTCTTCGAAGCCCTAGTATAAAGTTGAAAAATTTATGGTTTTTGGGAAAAGGCAAAATCAGATTTTGACGCCTTTGTTCATTTAAGGTCATAACTTGGCGATTTTTGATCAAAATGAATTCTTTTTTTCAGAAGATGTGCTTGAGAAGTGTACCTTTATTTCAACGGTTAAATGGTGCCTGTAAGTCTAGTCTAACTGACGCAATTCAATTCTAAAAAACGTTTCTGGGTTTTTACCGGTCATACCTTATACTCAATTCTTATGTCCCTACAAACCCAGCAAGTCTCAACTCTTTACTCAAATGTGTCAGTCTTTGCCAATACTTTTTGCATTTCATTTGCAAGTTTAACCAGAAAATTGGTTTATTTACCAAGATATGGGTTAAGATGAGTTTGGTTTGTTGAGTAAGTTGTTGTTCGTACATTTACAACCCAAACATCATTACCCAAATGCGCTAATAGCAAGTTATTAAATTGAATTGAATTGTTAATTAGTGAAGGATTAGATTGGTGAAAGAATGATGATAATCGGTTCTACAATTCTCGAAATATTGATTCTCAAAGTTTTGATTCCAATGGCCAAAATCAAGATAACTATTGATTGATTGAATAAAGTGCTCAATTGTCCATGTGCACCGACAATTTTTATGGACAAATAATAAATTTCAGCTCGCTAACTCTTTTCGTCACAGAAATCGGTCGGTTTAACTGAGAATCGAACTGATCTATTTTACAAGAAACAGAGACTTTTATTTCTCAAAACAAAATTGCATTTTCTCGTTGGCCATCAAAAGTTACATCAGTAAAATTAGTTCCATGAAAAAATCTGGCTCATAATTTGATAAAAGGCGATCGAAGTTACAATTTCGTCCCCGATTTCCTCGAAAACAGTGGCCCGGAGAAACTTTTTAATAGCACTAATGGACTCAGTTTTTTATGCCTCTAACAGAGTCCTAACTCTTAGCTCGAAATTTGTTACTCCCTTAACTTTGCAATTTCCAGATATTATTCATTTGAACCGAAATCCTTCAAGAATTGAAAATGAAAATTAATCTTCACCTTGAATCTTTTATTCACACCTTTAAATAAATTCAAATGGTTAAATGGTATTCAAATAAACAGTGTCTTATGAAATTCAAGTTGTTCACACATTCAATATCAAGTTTCAATTGAAATGCTTACCCTGATTGCATTACAATTGAATCATCAAATGGCGTTAACTTGTTAAATACGGGAATCTTCAACAAGATTATGTATTAAATGATTGTTGAATGATTGAAGGTGAAAAGCAAGTGAAACTTATTGAGTAAAAGTAACATTTCAATTCACAGGGATTAGATGTGATCAGTCAAATGGCAACTTTAACATGGACTCACTTTAAAACCTTGATTCAATCAATTACTAATAACTAATTTAATAAACCCAATCATCCTGTTTCCTCCTACAATTCAATATCAGTTCCAACATTTGATATCAACAGTTGACAATAAGATTGTGCCTTTGGTGGAAACTAAATTTTCATGTAAACCCACATTGAAACCAACATTAAATAAATTAAATATGACAAGTTGATCAAAAAAACCCAAAAAATGGATGAACCCAAAGACAGGTAAAGATGAACACAGTCAAAGATTTGAAATAATTTTCTCTCTCTCATTCAGATTTTATTCAGTCTGGATAATCTTGCTGATCCATGGAATCGGAACTCTATTACCATGGAACATGTTCATCACAGCCAATGATGTGAGTAAATTTACCCTTTTAATCAACTGTTAATTGTGACCATTACTCAAAGTATTTTGTAGACTTCAAGTTCAATACAACGGACCCAAATGTACAGAGTGAAGCTAAAAATTATGCCAACAATTACTTGGCTTATGCTGGATTAGCCTCTAAACTGCCCAATTTAACCTTTCAATTGTTCAACTTTTTTTACACAACAAGGTTAGTCGAACCCTTTATCAACATTTGAATGATGATCAGCTAATGGGTTAATCTTTCAGATCTGGTTCCATCAATGTACGAATTTTGGTTTCACTGTTTGTTCAACTGTCCATGTTTGCATTGACAATTGTATTGGCCTTTCTTGATAGCTCAACATGGTTAAATTTATTTTTCATATTAACCATGATTACGATTGTTGTAATCAACATGGCCAATGGAGTCTATCAAAGCTGCCTGTTTGGTTTAGCAGCCAACCTGCCCAGTTCATACACCAATGCAATTTTAACCGGAATGAATCTGAGTGGAACTTATTCAGCAATTATTTTAATTATATCAATCACAATATCTCCTGATCAACAAACTGCTGCCATATTTTACTTTTCAACTGCTCTGGTTTTCCTGATCATTTGCATAGCCACTTATTACACCTTGATTTCAACAGTAAGTATAAATAGATTTGAACAAAAAGCAATTCAATCCTCAAAAATCAAATCAATCAGCAAAAGGCTGGAAAAACTTTACATTGATTAACTTTAACTGTTCCATTGTACCAGGTTGGGTGCGTTTATTTTGCCAATTGTAAATTAAACTCTTGTTTTGATCATTTAGTATTGTTAAATAGATGTAATAACAAATGAGCAATGAGCGTTACTGCGATTTGGTGCGGAGTTTCAGTCAATATGTAAAAAGAAAGTGTTTTTCACGGCTTAAAATGACACAGTCACAAGATGTAAATAAGAACTAAAGAGATCGTATTCAGCAATCGAAAAAGATTTATAATGAAAAATATTGTGATAGTTTTGATTTGGCAAAATAAACGCACCCAACCTGGTATTAATAAGAAGCTCATTGATGCAAATCACAGTGTGAGCATTCAAAGTCATTTGTCAAACCGCTGATTAACTAATATTTAATCGTATGTCAACTGTTTATCGTTGTTTTCATCGAGATTCAAATGAAAAAGCCATTAAAACCTAATTATAAAACATCATCAACAAACAACGCTTTACTATTGAATTTACGTAAGCTGATTCTGATTTAAATTCTGATTAGATCAGCATCTGTAATGGTTGATAAAGGGTGTTATTGATGCTCTTGGATCAATATTTGTGAATCAAATCACTTTTTCAGACCTTTTTAGCGTTTATTAGAGCTTTTTCATTCCAGTTAAGAAAGCAACTGCAAAAACTTTGACTTTCAAGTGGCTTCAGAGTAACAAGAGTTAAAGAGTTAGAGACATGGTGGGCTTGTAGAGACACAGAAACTGAATTTATCCACGAGATAAACTAAATTATCTGATTGATCAAAGTTTGAACCTTCAACACTATTCTATCAAAAAATGATTTTGAGACATTTTCAATTTCACAAATGAGTTGAGTCTCTATGATCCTACAAGCCCATTATGTTTCCACTCTTAAGCCACTCGAAAGTCAAAGTTCTTGTGCTCATTCCTTATTGAACAAACGAAATCTTCAAATGAAATCCTTGAATCATTTCTAATTCATTTCACTATTTCCCACAGACTTATTTCAATCACTTTCAAAATTTGGATTCATCAGCAAATGATTCCATCATAACATCGGACAACAATAACGAATCAACTGGCACAACCGAGTCCAATGCCCAAGCTATCCTTAAAATCTGGAAGATCATATTACTTCCATCATTGAACATTTTCATGCTTTTCTTTGTCTCATTATCATTATTTCCTGGTGTTTTAACAGCCCTTAAACCAGTCAACAATTTGATGCCGGAAAAGTATTTCAGTCCAATCGTTTGTTTCCTCTTGTTTAACCTTTTCTCAGTCTTTGGCAATATAATTGCAAGACCAATTGATCAAATCAATTATCATCCAGTTCGATTGACAATTCCAATTGTTGGACGACTTCTCTTCATACCCTTCTTCATGCTTTGCAATAGCGACCCAGAAAAGAGGCAAATTGCCGTTTATTTTGACAATGATTATTATCCAATTGTTGGTACCATTGGATTAGCACTAACACAAGGTTATTACACTTCAAAGGCTCAAATTTATCTGCCAAAATGTGTCGATCCAAAGTATGCCTCGGTTGCTGGAATGGTTGCATCTTTCATGATCATGATTGGTATATTAGCTGGAATCACTTTTTCGCCCTTCATCAATTATTTAATCACAATTAGGTGGTAATCAATGTTTAAGTCAATAAATGACCCATAAATGTTGACCTGCAATGGAAATGTCGATTTGTCACTAACTGACATTTTCACCCTACAATATTTACTCCAATGGTTAACCCAAATTTGGGTTGCAAGATGAGAAGGAAAGTGAACTGATCAAGGTTTGACCTACTCTCTGGGTTAGGGCAAAGATGCCATTGATAGTCTGTCTTTGGGTCAATGAACTGGGTTTCTTTAGGTTAGAAAGGTTCAATGATCTCTCCAGTTGACCTTTTTTGCCTCATTTTTGGAGGAAAGTGAATCTTTTTTCACCTCCTTTGTTAGTCTACTTTCACTGGTGTTCCTCCCACTACTCTCTTCATCATCTTCATTCACAATTTACTAGGAACCATTTTTTACGTTTCTTTCTTTTCTTTCTTTCTTCCTCTTGCTTTTTCTTCTCATCAATGAAAGACTTGAACTTGTTGACCTAAATGAAGGTTAAGAGCCTTGAAGAAGGAAGTGTTTGGATGAAGCAAAAAGGTTAACCAAGGTCTTTGACTGTTAAGGGTTTACCGTTAACCTTGTGTGAATTCATTCACTCTGTGTGACCCTTTGTGACCTCATTTACCCGTTACAGTCATTGTAACCAAAGCGTTAACCTCAAAAGTAAAATGGGTTCAAGGGATTAACTCCATGACATGGTTTACTTTAGATTGACCTTTAATATCCGTATTATTCCTAGTAAATGTATTGACAGTTATTTTTGGTTCTGGTTAAATGGGCAAACAATTGCATAAAAAGGTTCAACCTGATCTGTAGTTAATGATTTAAATGTATATTTATTGTTAAATTTGATTGAAACAATCTAATAAACCCTTTCATTCAAAGATTTATTTTAATAAAAAGTAATTAAATACTTTCCAAAGACACTGAAAACACGAAACAATTTAGTTTTCTCTTCGTTTCCTTTACTTTTCTCAATTGTTACAGTAATATGAATATCTTTTATGTAATGATGAATCTATTTATTCATGTAAATTTCATTGTTTTCTGATTATCCACCATTCCTATGTATCATTGATAATAAAGTTGAATATAATTCTGTGTAACTTACCAGTATTTATTGTCCTTTTGGCTTATAAGTCCAAGAATCTCGCGCAAAACTTTATATTTATAAACCAACGAATCGGTCAGTTTGACAATCTTGTTAGCATTCAAGCTGAGAAGTTTGAGCAAAGCAATTGATCATTTGCGCTCCTTTTAAAGTCCAATCAAAAAGAAACACTTTCTCGTTGTTAGTTCGAAATCACTGTAATTGTTTTAATGAAAACGTTCGTGAATAAAATGCACTGATAACAATTTTCTGTTAGCCACTGTTGAACAGTCGGCGCTATTTTTATTTCATTTTCTATTAAAAAAACAAAAGTTAAAAGTCACATTAAATTGTTCGATTCTATCACATCTAAACTTTATGCCCTCAATGTATCAACAAATGAACATCTATACTTCAATCAATTTGCATCAAGTCATCATATTGTCGACTTATGATCCTAGATATATCAATAATTTATTGCCATAATTTATTTCTAATGATATTCCTGTGTTGATCTGCAAAAACAGCGATATGATCTTCATTTCTTTGTCTAATAACGCACTAATAAGTATAACTCCAAGTTGATTCAGTACTTTGAGGAGTGTCATTATCTCGCTTTACCTAGTATTGAATAGAGCTAAATCAAGATCGCTGATCAATAAGTTTCTAATAAATTTGAAGTGAAAAATAAATTAGCTTGGAGATAAGTTGATTAATTGGGTGTTTTTAGCGAATATCATAAGTTGTTGTTTACTAATTAGGTTGATTCACCCAGAAATATATCAATAACAATAACTTTTTACATAATTTTTGTTATATCTGGAAGCAGAATCATGAGACGATAGCATTCGCGAGGAAAGTGCATTAAAGTATAGATGTTCATTTGATACACTTAGACCACAAGGTATAAAATGCGATGGGATTAGCGTGTTAGTTTATTAACATCTTCAATACTTATTGTATAACATCCAACTTCCAATTTTGTGCAAAAAAACCATGAAAATGATCGCAACTATCTTCGTTGTCTTTGCTTTTGCTTATTCAGCTCTTGGTGAATGTCCAACTCCTCCAGTCGCTCCTGACGATGCAGACGTTGCCAGGGTAAGTCAAGTCGATATTTATTGCAAGTGTTTAGCAAACAAGTCCACTTAACTCCCATATTTTGTGTTTTGTGCATTTAGATTGTCGGTCGTTGGTATGAAATCGCTCGACCAACTACTGCCTCTGAAAATGGTCTAACCTGCGTTACATGCAATGTTACTCCTCGCGATGATGGAGACTTCAACATTACCAATTTGGGAACCAAACCTGAGTAAGTGTGCTTAACTAATCGTTTAAAATTGTTCCTTAATTTGCGTTGTCTGTTTATTATTGTTGCATTAGTGGTTCAATGGCTAGTGAATATGCTATAGCCAAACGCACCAGCAGTCAAAGTTTGCTTCACATCAACCCAATCGCAATCAGTAAGTATCTTCATTCATTACGTGATATCATTTGTTTCTTTGACTAGTTGAACAATCTAACAGTATGTTGTGTGTGGGAATAGGTTTACGACCTTTTCGAAGAGAATCTCATTTACATCGGTTCTTTTTCATTGAACTTTGTGCGGATCATCTGCAAATTATAGCAGAGAAAAAGATTCGATTTGCTCCATTTTAGCATATTTAGCTATTAAAGTTTATAATCATATAATGGTTGCGATACAATCGAACAATACATTAATAAAAATTTCCTTTTTGCAGAGATTCCATTCGCAATTCCATTCAATATAGCCGCTACTGATTACGATAACTATCTGGTTGCCTACACTTGTCTTCGTGACGTTAGTAAGTATCTTTTAAGCGTGTTTACTAAATGATGTCCAAAATGATGTCGGTAACAATTCAACTCTTGTAATTGTCACAGAACGCGGTTGGATTTTATCCAGAAGCAACAGCATGTCGGAAGCACAGCTCACTGAATTGACCAATTTGTTAGCAACTAAATATGGAGTTTCACTCGATGAAACTGAATTCACAAGTCACAAGGACTGTAAATATTGGCCAGCCTGATGAGCGATTATATTGAAACTGCAAGTAAACTTGAAATTCATTGTAATGGTAGACTAATGCAATCTAAATAAATGAACGATAAATAATGCAAATCAAGTGTTTATTAAATACTTCATAGAAATCAATTCTCTAGTCAAAATATTCATCATTAAATGCCATAATTTTCCTAATCATAGTAAAATAGAGTTACATTTATCCAGCAATTTGACAAACCAACAAACTTTGGTGCATATTAATAAGTTAAGTGCGCTTTGATTCGACTATTTAGCCTTCATAAAACCAGAATTGATGAGGACTACTGTTTTCAAATCATTAATAACCAAGAAACAATCAAGAAATCAACTGGTATCAATTGATTCTGAATAATGGTGAGAGTTTCAGCTTATGAATGCATCTAATCATGCAAAGTTGATTGTTATTCTGCTTATGCAATTCATTAGATTGTTAATAATGATCAAAGTCAACAGTTAAATCATTCATTTCAGTATTTCAAAGTTCGTTTTTGTAACAATTGAAAGTATCATCGATTTGATTAAACTATTGCTTCCAAAAGTTGTATAAAATATTTGCAGTCCCATACTTTGATGATAAAGCAACAAGAAGATAGACATCTTAAAGGACCAAAGACATACTGTGCGATCTCTCTTTTACGGTAAATGGTTTACTCAAAATTGTTTGATTGTTGTTTGTACGAGAGTTTTTGCATCACTTTTCTAAAGTTTAAGACTTCCAGCTGAATCTTGGGCAATCAACTGAATTTTGACTGTGGCCATTACATTCAACTGTGAAGTCATTCGTCAACTGATGTGTGTTTAAATGACAACTTCGCTCTCATCAGGTAAATCTTCAGAATAAGTAAAACACTGCTTCTAGATTAGAGATCTGGGGAATGCAGATGCTTATGATAAATGTGAAATGCAGTCCAGTCGATCAACTATTATTGTGGAACTGGCCAGTACTTACAATCCTTTTCAATGTCACTTCAATTTCATCGGGTCTAACTCCATATTTATCAACAACCGAATAGATTTGTTGAGCTGCAAGTCTGTAACTTGTAACGAACGAGTCTTTTGATGTATGCGATATTGAATAGACTGATTATCATTATTATAAAATAAATTATACTCATTAAAATATGATTACTGTGCAACATTAGCAGTTTATTAGTACTGTTTCAATTTGTAACGATGATTTAACGATGTAACGATTTGCATTTGCCTATTGTTAGAATCATGATATTTATCATTCATTCGTTTAAATTAGGTTCTTGAGTCGATCATTCATTACAACGTTACAATTATTTGACTCTCAATGCGATTTATTGTGGTACTGGCCAGTATTTACAGTCCTTTTGGGTTGTGAATTCAGTCTCATCGCGTGAAACTCCATACTTAGTGAACAACAAATCGGTCAGTTCGGTAAGCTTGTCAGCACTGATGGTGTTATTCCTGGACAAAATCCAACCGTGTTCTGTGATGAAAAAGAGTTAAATTGTTGTTATAATACAAATCAATTGCTATGAAAACACATTCAGGGAATCGACCCGAGTGATACTCACTAACGGTGTAGATGGGAGGAATACCGAGACAAGTGTATGCAACCAGATAGTTGTCGTAATCAGTATACGCTATGTTGAAACCGATTGGGAATGGAAGCTCTAAGAAACAGAGAACATGATTAATATATTGTTCGATTGCTTAAATAATTGTCCAACAATTAAGTCACAGCAATTAATGAACGAAGAAATATAAAGTTACTTACTGACTGTCAATGAGTAGATGTTGAGTAAAACTTGACTACTGGTACGTTTGGCTAAACCATATTCACCAGCCTTTGAACCACTAAACAAACAATGAATAACAAAATTAAAAGTTGTACAATGAACAGATAATGCAATTTCAAACAATTATTTAAGTTTACTTACTCAGGTTTAGTTCCCAGGTTGGTAATGTTGAAGTTTCCGTCTTTTCGAGGAGTGACATCGCATGTAACACATGTTAAACCGTTTTCAGAGGCTTTGGTTGGTCGAGCAATCTCATACCATCGACCAGCAATCTATTAAGTAAATTAAACATCAAATCAATGAATCAACTCGAACCACTGGCGCAACACAAGAAATATGAACCTACCTTGGCAATATCTGCACCAGCAGGGGCAGTTGGAGGAGTTGGACATTTACTGAACAAACCACCAAAAGCTGGTGAAGCGAAAGCAAAGACAAAGAAGAGAGTTGCGATCATTTTCATGGTTTTGCAGAAATTCGAAGCCGAGTGTTTTTCAATGAAACTAGCTTGCTAACTGGCTACTACTATTGTGTGTTAATATCATTTTATACTCTGTTTTGTCGGTTTATCAACGAATGAACATCTATACTTTAATCGAAGTTCATCAATGACATTATTGTTAATTATTGAAGGACGATATATCAATAGATCTAAACAATTTAACCTCCAATTTTTCCATCATTAGAGTTACGATTAAAATTATTGCTGGGTGAATCAACATAATCAGTTAATTATGTTGATTGTCTTGATTATCTTCCCTCCCTTGTCCAAAACCACCCAAATAACCAAAAATTTACTAACATTTCTTTACCAAACAAATTATATAATCAAATAAAGTTTAATCGAATTAGTAAAATCATTTAAACTGATCTTTTATTTATTATATTTTCAAAAATTGTTTAAAATTACTCATCCTGATCTAATTAACCTTTCATATTAATAATTGAATTATTCAACATTCTGTGATATAACGCCCTCCTCAACTAATAGATAACTCAACTGAATTCTGGTTAAGTAACAATAAGATTACTTTTACTGGTTGCTACAAACTTTGGATTGGTCACTAGTCTTAACTTTAGCAATAACGAAGGTCTCTGATATTTATCAACGCTTGATGAAAAAGTCTCATCTTTGACCATAATTCCGGTCATTTACTAAGATCAAGAGACAGAGTTTCTTACATATATCGACTTGTAATGTCATAAAGACATAAATTATTGGAAAAACTGAAGACTAGTCTTAAACAATTTACACCAGTTGACAAAATTATGCAGCCATGCGATTTTTGTTGATAGCATTTTCGATGGGATTATTTTCGCGGTTTAATCAACAGATTTGGAAACAACAAAAAAAACTAAATAGTTGATTTTTATTTCATATTGCATTTAAGCTAATAATACTTTAAAACATAATGCATAATTTATTCAAGGGAATTGAAGTTTATAAAAACTGCTTGAGTAAGAAAGATTCAGTATAATGACTTTAGGTGACAGGGTTTGAGATCATTCCGTTGTTAAATGTAGCTTTTTGAACATTTACATTTGATTTGAAAGATTTGTTCATTATCATTATAATTATCGTTATGGTTAGTCAGAAGTTTCACTGATAAATCCTATTTCGCGTTTACAGGATAACCGAAACTTTTTCGACTCTTTATCCTTCTCGAAATGCTTTTTCCTGACTAATTCCATTTGACGACGAAAACAGATTGGCTTTAAATTTTTGGCAATCATATGCAACACAAATGCTCGACCAGGAGACACTTTAACCATGTATTTGAAAAAGGCAACCTCATCTGTTGTTGCATTGTCTTTATCGGCACAAGGAGCGACCTTTTTCAATGCTCTTAAACGATACATGACACTGAAGTGTGAACAGAGTCGACAAAATAAATGATAGATAGTTATCACCGTTAAAATGAGAAACCAAAACCAGAGAATCACAAATATCTTTTCATTGACAATGTTCATTGGCATAAAGCACAAAGTATCATACGTTTCCAGTGAACCTGAAGCACCAAACTTGTGAAAACTGCATTTGGTTAGACGAGGAAAGATTCGTATCAAAGGGTCAAAAGCAATATCATCCGAGTTGTGGGTATAATTGAGCCATTCAAATCCCAACATGAAAAATTTACCACCAAGGAACAGATGAATAAACCAGATTTCACAAACCAAATGAACCAAACAGAGTACTTCAGCACCAATGATTCCATTGTAATATTGGTCGGCAATTAAAATGGTATCGACTGCATCATTAATAATGTCATCATAATTGGTCGAACTTTGATCCAACTGATCCGACTGACTTGAAGGGCCTGGTGAAGAGGAACACTGAGGCTGGCTTTCCACTTTAAACCCGGCCGGTGGAGGTGAGTTTCTCATTTTTAAGTGTTTTATTAGTTCGGTCAAGCGTCCTCGTTCCCGATACTTCCACATCACTTTTGGTGCATAAAACAAAAGACACTGAAAGAGTGAATGATATCAATTAATGATGATCAATAAGAAATGAAGTTTACTCAGTGATTCTTACCTGAATTGCTAGAATATAATAAACCCATTGATAGTATTTATGCGGCATCTTGAGGTCGCCTTGGTGTGGCTTATATGCTTTGATTCCTGGATAAGCTACATCATGACCAGGAACTTCATAGAGTCTCTTCAAGTCACTTGTTGAATAGCGGGTAACAATTGTAAAGGCACCTTCCATCCAACAATAGTTGGTCATCTGTTTGGATGATATACTTTGAGCTGCTGAAGGTATATCAAGGCATTCAATTGGTTCACCAAAATATTGTTTCATCATGAGGAAACACATGAAAAAGGTCAACATCAAGACTGTTATTTTTGAATGAAAGGTAAACAAGAAGCTATCAATTGTGATATAATCATTCCATTTTTTATTAACTAAACCTAATATGGATTTATTAATAATTGAATGACTCTCAAAGCTGCCAAGAATTTCTTTCACTTTTCCAGGAATTCGGTTTAAGGCCATTTTCCAAGAAAACTAACACAATTTAAGGTCACAATCTATTTAAACTGTTCAACTTGAATCGGGCATGTTTCCAGTGTCTATAAGTATGTGCATTGCTGGTTAACAAGGCAAGTTAACGACTGTTAACAGATCCTTTGTTAAAGTCCTCCAACGATTTACTTCAACTTGTTGAGATTGTAATGAATGATAACTTGTTGAACATATTGAATAATCAAGTTTATCATTGCAATCATTGTCTAATAAGTCTCGGAGGACTTTTAATTAAACAAAACTGAACAAGGAAAGTTGGCCATTTTCAATTGTAATGTTTATCATACTTAATTTTAAGGCATTATTAAAATATCAAGCCATTTGATTCAAATCAATGATATTTACTAAGCTATCAAAAGCGATACAAATGCTAGTCAAGTGATTAGCTATCATTGTTATTGATCATGATAACTGTATTTTCCCTTTCGTTTCAATGTAACAATGGTGAAACTGGGTTAGTAGTTACAAAGATTGTTCAGTTATCAACTTCAGGAAATCATAATTTTGTTCATTTGTGATTTCAATTGTTTCGAGTTTTCAATAGATTTGACATTTCTGGTTGATTTTATAACTGATTTATTTTTTGGTTATAAATGTTTTAACGATTTACAATGCTCAGTATGAGTTGCAATGCTTTAAACATGGACATCTTTAAATAAACAGTTTGATAAATATTAAATAAATTAAGGGAAACCTAATACAATTAGGCAATGAGTTTGATTAGCAATTTGCGTTAATCAGGGGAAAGGTGTGTAAGTACAATCAGTTTGGTTTGTGACTTCAAGGGATGACTCGTAGATGCCATATTTAGAGGTCAACAAATCAGTAAGTCGTTTAGTTGTGGCTTCATCCAAAGTATTTTTTCGTGAGAAAACCCATGCAGTTTCTGTATGAATAACAATTAACATTAGATGAAAATTGGAATGAAATGATTGCAATTAGCTTACCATAAGTGAAAAGTGGTGGGACTCCAATACAAGTGTAAGCAGCAGCATAAGTATCATAATCAGTGTCAACAATGTAAAATGCTATTGGTAGAGGGATTGCTGTTGACAAAAAAGTACCAAAACATTAGATGGAAATGTAAAGAAACAAATGTTGAACAACTTACTGCTTGAAACCATCTTGAGTTCATCAGCAGGTCCACCTTTGACTCGATTAGCAGTTCCATGTTCAATTGCTGCTTCGCCACTAAAGGATAGGAAATGGTAAATTAATTGATGAATTAACTGAAGATCCTTTGTGTACTTACTTCTTTCGGATGGCACTGTTGGTTGTATTGAAATCGCCATCGGAACGGAGGATGAAATCAGCAGTTACACATCTCAAGCCATTTTCAGTGAAACCACTTGTTCGGACAACTTCGTACCATCGACCACCAAACTGTTGAACAATTAGTTGAGTTAAATTGTGATTAGTGATGTTGTTGACAAGTGTTGATCAGTTGGATTATAACAAGCAGTTGGTCTGTTTACTTACCTTGGTAATGTCAAAGCCTGCAGGGACGGGTGGTGGTGTTGGACAAGAACCGCTGTAAGCTGAGCCAGCGAGAGCAGCAACAAGGATTAGAGTTGAAATCATTTTGAATAGTTTAGTTTAACCGTTTGGCTGTTTACTTAACTGTTGATTGTTGAAAATTGGTTGATGATTCTCGTGTTTTTATAGCACCTCTGTCTTGATTATTCAATATTTTATCAAATTTGTAAATGACAATTTGTCATTTATTATCAATTGAAGGGCAAAATGGAAAGTAATAACAATTGATTTACTTATTCATCAATTAGCTTCTGTTGCAAAATGCTTCTGGGAACAATTGAATTGGGGAAAATTTATCTCATTTTACTCATAACTTCCCTATGAAAGCTGTGAATTTTATAAAATTGTTTTAAATTGTGATAATCAGTGATTAAAATATGGGGCATGGGATCAAGGTTTAATTGTGTGGCATGCCTTTATATAAAACCCTTTCAAGATTTCATGATAATTTACCCTTTCTTAATATCTTCAATCAAATCGCTAATTATACAATATTTAATGAAAACAATTATTGCTTTTTATGGTGTAAACTGTTATTCATTAGTGATAAACCATCAGTTTTCAAAAAATAATACAAAGAGTCGCTTATTTTGCCAATAATTCCACATTCTAATGATGGATGCACAATGAAAGTTATCAAAATATTTTGTTTTGATCAACTTAATGAAACTTCAGTATTTCAATCAATTCTATTGCGTATTGCAAATTGCGTATCAAAATTAACCCATAACTTGATATAATGTCGTTTTCCGACTGATTAAGTCTTCATTAATGGAAGTGTTATTAATGTCCTTCTCCATGTTTTAATTTGTAACGATAGCGAGATCGATTGAGATCATTAAAAGTCAAGGGCAAGTTATAGCAAGTTATGGGTTACCTTACTTTAACACAACAGCATAACGAGTTATATTTTCATCTGATTGGAAGTTAATCAGCAATGGAAAATTCATTAGATATTGATTGACAAACCATCACGAAATTTTCTTGAGTTTCACGTGAAATATCAGGAAATAATAGAGTCTAACAGATGTAAAGGTAGACAAAAATGATATGAATGTTTTGGAAAATGGAATCAGACGTCAGCCCAGTCAATCAAATCTCGTACTAACACATAAAATCTTCTACGACTGAAAAGTTTGCAAAGATGAACCAGAAAGTAAGAAAATGTATCACTGCAGAAAAAAATTCTGAAAGACACAAAAACTGAAATTTTTAAGCTTCTAGAAGTCATAAATTAATATCACTTTTCAGTAACTTTCTGATTTTGACTGGAAACAACTTTTATAGCAAAAACAACGAAATGACCAAAACTTATTTTCATAAGACAAAAACTTGTAAGCACCAGAATGGTAGTGACTGCATTGTGTCCAGAGATCGAATGCTAGGCTCACAGTTGAATGAAATATTTGCAGAAGAGCGAAAGAACATTTTTATGCACGGAATTTCAGTCTAAAATGAAGGGAGGATGAATGCTCAGATGCAATATAACGAAGTTGAGCAAAAAATTTTACTAAAATATAATATCTTGATGAAACGTTTTGTAGAAACATGGTTAAAACTGTGTTGAGTAAAAAGACGATCACAAAAGGACAACAATGCTCTGATTAATTTCTTAGTATTTCAAACCACTTTGATGAATATGGAAAGTAGGAAAAGGAGAGAGAATTGTTAGATTTTATTATTGTTTAAATTGTATAATATGGGTATATGGGAATTTACTAATTGTCTCTTGCCTATTAATAAGTTTGATTGAAAAGCCTTTTTGTCTGAATCTTGCTCACTACAAAGGGAAATATCGAATATACATTCAGCTTTAATTTTACAATTTTTCGTAAAGTTCTGATCATTTCTTTTAAATTCATTGAATCGAGCACTTTATCGATCGAATCTGATTTATTGAAAAATGTTATTAAAATTTTGATTCTTTATTTTCAACAGATAAAATAGTTAACTTATAGTTCGTTAATATTCAAACTTGTTAAGAATAAAATCAAATGCTTTTCCGTATGACAATCAACAATTAGACTGCTTCAGGTTAATTAGTTACAACTGAAATTTTGCTCAAATTGCATATTGTTTAAGTAAAGCACTCTCTATCGTTTGAATAGAGAATTAATTTGCTCAAGATTTAATTGTTGTTGTGAGAGTGATTTTCATCTCTGATTCGAAGCTCAGGCCTCTAATCAAGCTGAATCTGGACAATCAACTGAATTTTGACTGTGGCCATTACCTATGATCTTTAACAGAATGTCGACTGTAATGCTGGTTTAAAATCATTTGACAACTGATGTGAGCTTAGATGACGACTTCGCTTGCATCAGCATCGGTAAATCTTCAGAATAAGTTACACATCGTTTCTGAATAAGAGATACAGTATATCTTCGGAACCGAATGATTGTCAAAAATCAATTTATGCTTGTGATAATTATTTAATTATTTATTGAAATTGTGTTGTTTGGGAATCATCGTGAAACACAGTCAAGTTGATCAACAATTTCGATAAAATTATTGTGGAACTGGCCAGTATTTGCAATCCTTTTGGGGAGTCACTTCAATTTCAGCGGGTTCAACTCCATATTGGTTGATAACCAAATCGGTCAATCTCTTAAGCTTGTCAGCGTCCATGGTGTTCTTTCTGGATAAGATCCAAGCATGTTCTGAAAATACAATAATAAATGAATTATATATCGGTAACCAGTAAATGACGTTCCACTAAATACTTACTGCTGGTGAAGAAAGGAGGAACACCAATACAAGTGTAGGCAACGAAGTAGTCATCGTAATCAGCCTCGGCTATGTTGAAACCAATTGGGAATGGAAGCTCTGCAAAAAGTAAATTTGATTAGTAAACAGATCAATTATTGAAATAATTAATATATTGACACAGCAAATACAGCGCTAAAACGTTACTTACTAACTGCAAATGAGTAAACATTAAGTAAACTTTGAGAATCGGTACGTTTGGCTTCTCCATATTCACCGGCCTTTGAACCACTATGAGATTAACGAGAATAAGAATCAGCGACACAATTTATATTAATAAACAATTACAGTAAATCAATTAATTTAACTTACTCAGGCTTTAAACCAAGATTGGTAATGTTGTAGTCACCATCAGGTCGAAGAGTGAAGTCAGATGTAACACATGTTAAACCATTTTCAGAGGCTTTGGTTGGTCGAGCAATCTCATACCATCTACCGGCAATCTAAATAAATTAAACACCAAATTAGTGAATCAAGTATAACTTAATTAATAAACGAATTAGATAAATAATAAATTACCTTGGTGATGTCTGTACCTTCAGGAGCAGCTGGAGGAGTTGGGCACCAACCAAACCAACCACCGAAAGCTGGTGAGGCAAAAGCAAAGACAAAGAAGAGAGTTGCGATCATTTTCATGATTTTTTTTGCACAAAATTGAAGTTGAATGTTTTTTAATTAAACTTGATGATTAACTGATGTTAATTTGCTTAATATCATCACATTTTATACTTTATTTTCGCAGTTTATCAACAAATAAACATCTGTGCCTAAACGTTATCACAATTATTCAATTGTTAACCGTTCAATAGGCCTTCCATGGGAAACAATTGATTTGCTTTGGTTTGAGTATCAAAATAGTTATGAAATGTTATCAGTTAAATGAACAAATAAACTTATCATAAATATTATTACCTAAATAAATTAGCATAATCAATGAATAATCCCTGTTTGCAGTTATCAGATCATTTATGTGATTTTTATTTTTCAATCCTGTAACATGCAATTGATGAGATAATTCAGTAAAATTCAGGTCTAAACCTTTAAAGAGAAAAATTTGTGTAGATCGGAAAATGGCCAATTCAATGTTTTCATGAATAAGGAGATTTCATGAAGCACCTTTTTAGCGATTCTTGGTCAATTAAAGTTATTTCAAAAAACATTTGTATAAAAATTGATGCTAATTAATCGTTTCGTTATCAATGATTAATTTTCAGATAACAAATCAAAGTCTGAAGGTTTGGAGATTAACAGATTGATTGTTGAGGGTTAGTACAATCGGTTCAAGTGTTGCACCTACAAGTACTTTTGTCAAAAAATATCAATCAATATTTATTTCGATCAATTTAATTAACAAGAGTGAATTCACCAGTAATTGGTACAAGAAGACTCGCTAATTACTTGATTACAATTACAATTACACTCAGAAAGAATGCAAATTCAAAATGCAAGCATGAAATATAAATATTTGATAATAAAATGAAGGGAAACATTGGAAAAGAAGTAAAAACTTTGACTGTAGAGTTAAGAGTTTAGACTTCGTGGGTTCGTAGGGCATAAAAGTTTAGGTTATTTGTGCAATTAAACAGTTTATCTGATCGATAAAATCGAATTCAAAGTTAAAATTTCGATCGCTTTTAAACAGTTATGGAACCAGATTTTTTCTCAAATTGATTTTTCTAAGACAACTTTAATGGTCAATCAGTAAAGCAATATTCTGTTTCTGCTCGAGATCACTAAGACTGTTGATAAAACTATAAGGTCATGCGATATTTTGCATCGGCTTTTATTTTGTGAAAAACGTGAAAAAATAAAGATAATTTTGTTGACATAGAAAATATTTTATTGACATTATTTTGCAGATTATATAAAATATATGAATGAAATGACCATACTGATCAGTCGGCTCTTGATCGTTTTGCCATTAACTCGAAGTCCATCTTTCCCCATCAAAATTACGTCTGTTTTCTCTGATCCGTTAGATCACTAGCGATCGAGTGGCGAGCCAAAGTTTCCTCAGGATAGATGAGCTCAATATGCTCATTGGAACCAAGGAAGAAGTCACTTCTCCAAAAATGTTGACTTCACAGAATATTCGTAGCGAATCTTTTTCTCCGAGCAGGTTTTTAGCAAGATCTACAAGTGCCTGTCTAGGAGCCAGATGACTATGGCGATGGCCTTCATCTCCAGCTGCAAATATCTTCGTTCTTTGCGAGAAGAACATATATTTGCGCTTATCTTCGGCATCTAGCAAAGATATTTCAAAATTGGCCTGTTGTTTTGGCTCATCTTCACATGACCTGTAAAATAAATAAAAGAATTTATTTTTTGACACGTTAATAGAGAAAATGAAAAAAAGAAATCAAAAATACTTACCATAAAAATAAATTAATACCAATATACTGGCCATAATTATTCAAATTTTTGTTAATAAATTTCAACACCCACTTGTCGTTAGAATTGGGTGAAAAAATAAGATGACAATAATTTTATATCACTAGGAATATAACTGGCAGTTATAGTGGTATAACTAGTAGTTTGGCTAGTTAGAGTTTGCACAAATTCTGCACAGTGCTGTCAGATCTGTACAAAAAGGTTTCAAGTTAGGTTTCAAGAGTTCTGCACATTTTTTAACATAAAAACAGGCGAAATGAAGAATTAAGAATTATTTATTTATTTATGTCAATTTGGTTCGATCAATATTATAATAATAAAAGTCAAAAAGTATAATTAAGTATCCAATAAATGATAAAGAATGGATAATAAAACAGCGGAATAGGAATAATATTAGAAATAAGATCTGGTATTTAAATCAATTAAATCACCAAAGTGTCTCTTTTTCTTCTTCTGTTTTTCGGAGGATGAAACAATTTGGTTTTAAGTGAATTTCAAATGATTGTAATGACCTGAAACCAGTGTTACATCCTACACAGTGAAATATGAAATTTTCTGTCAAAATATAGCAAAAGAGAGCTTAATGGTCAGTGTTTGTGTTTTTCCTTTGCACCGGCAGCCTGTATATGCACAAGCATCAAACTCGCTGGTGATGGTTGCGTCCTTGAGTGATGTAAGTCGATGTAACGAATCGACTTTCTTTGCGGCCACTTCCAAGATTTGAATCATTGTGGATTTTGCTGAGTCGGTGTTGATCGATGTATCCGTGGTTTGGTAAAAGATTTTATAATAATTATCGATGCTGAAATGAAAAAAATGTTACATTAGTTAAAATCTATGAATGAGAAAGTCTGTAAACAAGAAGCAAGGTTACTTACGATTGAATCGAGTAGTTTTTTCAACATTTATGAAAATGTCAATTTTTTTGTAAAGCTCAATAAAGATCAAATCAGGGTTCTTTTTAATTTCCTCCATAGCGGTTTCTGGGGTGTAATCGTTAAGTTTGCCATCCTTTTTAATATTTTCAATCAATATTGTCAGCCAATCAACAAATCGTTTTCCAAATAAATCATCCTGACATGCTGAGACTTTGACTCTAGCGATAGCAGCAGATCTTTTCGTCATAGGTTTATAATTATGACAAGCTTGAGGATGCTCTTTGCCAACTCTTTCCACGTAAATACAAGTGGATCTGTGGTGTCAGACACTCGTCTTACCCGGAAAAACTTTACCACACAAGGTACAATAATGAAGAACTCCCATCAGCTCAAATATGTGGCGAATGGCTGTATGCGTTGAAAGGGAAGTTTTCTTGCATTTTTGCACAATGGCGATGCTCAGAACGAATTTGACACATTGTTTGGGTCGATACGTAGATGGTTTTCATTAACCGATTTCCGTATATTGTGCTGGAGCCGAACTTTACCATCTGGAGTAAGTATTTGAAAATCACTAACAATAGTGTAAGTGGTCTTTTTAGATTTCTGTTCATAATTTTCAAGGTTAAGTAACCTTCGCAAGTCAGTTCTGAAAAAATAAAAAAATTGGTTAGTCATATATAATTATTTTTGTCAAAGAGATAACTTACGTGTAATCTGCAACTAATTCTGAATGTAGATTTGAAAAATCTAAGAATCTAAGAAAAATCTAAGAGACGCCACAATGAAGTTTCATAAGGAATTTCAAGAGGTTCCATCTAGGCATATTCGGGATCAATGAAGGGAAGGGTTTCACCCCCATGATCAGCACTTGACTCCTCTTGGTCTCCAGATTAAGAGGCATCATCTTCTTCTTCAGCATCGCTTTGGTTCTGAGAGGAAGTTTTGTTGGTTGAGCTGGTGGCTTCATCTTCATTGATCTCTTTTCGTTGCGGTTCTTTTGAAGTAGCTCGCTTTCTTTTTGTTGGTCGTCCTCTTCTTACGACAGGGGGTTCTTCAGACGAAGCGTAAGAAGTAAAATACTTAGGTATGTCTTTACAAGTATAGAATTTATCTTTCAAGTCCTGAGAAATTCCAGGCTTTTTTTTCAATTTTTCCATAACGGATTTTGAACCTAAAGATTCGAAAAAGATGTTAAAGATTAGATAAGATAAATATTAGAATATTAGGTTAGATTTTAACATAAGCTGAAAATATTGAGTACTTACCAATACCAATAAGGTAATGAGGCCAATCTTGAGTATGTTCTGGTCGACGCCACACTTTATTGCTGCCAGTTTATTCTTGGATAACACTTTGGGTTCATCTCTTTGCCGTCAACAAGCTCGACATTATCAACGTTAGTAACTGTTGTACGTTCAGCACCAGAATCTGGACCACCATCAGTCCTGAAATAACAGCAGAAAGACATGTCACAAAGTTAAAATGAAATAATGAATAAGTTAAAATAATGAAGTGTATTTACAACGCATTTCAGCTAATTTTCCCGTTGTAAATTGGCTATATCTTTGCTCCTGAGTGACCTAGAGGTTAGATATTTTGTTAATGGAAATTTGGGCGATACTCAATTGTCATATTTCAAGGTCAAGGTCATTCAAGGACATTGCGTTATTTGACCTCTAGTTGATATTTGGAGGTCATTTTCTAAGAGTGCAAAAATTTTCATATTGGTTGATGCTTACTACGCGTTGGTATCTTAAACCGTTAAAAAGATAAAT